TCAGGCTTCTTTTTTTTAAACAATTACATGAGCAGGTTTTTCAGAGAAGGAGGTGCTTCATTTTTGCCATTTAAAGAGAAAAAGCTATCCATAGTGTTACTATTGTATGCAGTCCAATGACATATGAAGAAAAAGAGTCCAACATCTCAAGTTTTGACTGTGAAACTATAAAATACAGTAAGGAAAGCTTACTACCTAATTGCATTTATGTACACTTTTGTTGTTTTTGCTGCATTTTTAATATATTTCATCCAGTATGATACTGTAAAACTTTGTAACTCAATCTTTACAATTTCTTTTGCTTTTCCAGGTGCAACATGCATAGAAAGGTATGAAATGTCTTTATTATATGTTTTTATAACCTAAAAAACTTTTAAAAATTTACTTTTCTACTTACTATAGAAACAGCAGTCCATCCCAACTATATTAATGCAATCCAAATCTTTGGTGTAAATGTAGGTGGTTCTCCTCTAACCTCTAGGGATGCAACATACAAATATTCATACACGTGGCTACTCTCACAAGTGGGCTTTGGCTTTTCATTTCAAGTAATTCCATTGCTGCTTAATTTTTAGTATTTTCTGAGCTGAGAATAGAAAGGTTTTAAAATAGAAAAGCAAAAAATAGAAGGCAGAAAAAGACATCTATTAAATCAATTTTTTAAACACACAACTTATATTACAATCCACCAAATTGGAAGGATTTGTGAGACCCTTAAGAACCTACAAATAACTGTTAAACAAAAATACTTTGGGGGGGGGGGAATCACCCAATTTACATCTTTTCTCACCAAATAATGCAATTCTAGCAATTCTTCTTTCATGTCTACTACTGTGCATTCTTTGCATTAGACCATTCCTCCTTCTTATCCTAAAGTACATACAAATGTGCTTACATGAAGGCCTTCAGTGGACCTTTTATGAAAGATAAAGAGACAAATTACACTTCAGGCTGACCTGACATCCTCATGCAAAAGGAAATCAGCATTCTACACTTATTGTCTTATTTGTAATAATGGTTCATCAGAATTTCCTCAACCTTTACAGCAATACAAACTTAACTTTAAATGAACTAATCTCTGAAAGACAGACACGTAGTCCCAGCTTCGAAGAAATATCATGGACTATTCAAAACTTTCAGAAGTTTTGTTCACCTGGTGTCCTGGTTTTGGCTGGGATAGAGTTAATTTTCTTTCTAGTAGCTGGTATAGTGTTATGTTTTGGGTTCAGTATGAGAAGAATGTTGATAACACACTGATGTTTTCAGTGGTTGCTAAGTAGTGCTTAGACTAAGTCAAGGATTTTTCAGCTTCTCATACCCAGCCAGCAAGAAGGCTGGAGGGGCATAAGAAGCTGGGAGGGGGGACAGCCAGGACAGCTGACCCAAACTGGCCAAAGGGGTATTCCATACCATGTGATGTCATGCCCAGTATATAAACTGGGGGGAGTTGGGCTGGGGGGATAGCTGCTTGGGAACTAACTGGGCATCAGTCAGCAAGTGGTGAGCAATTGCACTGCGCATCACTTGTTTTGTATATTTCATTTCTTTTATTAGTATTATTGTCATTTTATTATTGTTATTATTAATTATCATTATCCTTATTATTTTCTTCCTTTCTGTCCTATTAAACTGTTCTTATCTCAACCCATGAGTTTTACTTTTTTTCCCCTCGATTCTCTCCCCCATCCCACTGGGTGGGAGGGGAGTGAGTGAGTGGCTGCGTGGTGCTTAGTTGCTGGCTGGGGTTAAACCATGACACATGGTTTGGCAGAGATGGGGAGGGGGTGTTGAGTCTGCAAAAATGTTCCTTGCTTCTCATGATTGAACTGATAAAACCTCTCCTGCAGCAGAGAAAGTTACCAATCAGAGAATAAAACACTATCTTTCAGTAGCTCTTAGGTAAACATATCTGTTACTAATTTCCCTGTTACTTTACCCTGACTATCAGCAATGTATAGTTCTTACCTATTTTGCCAGTATCTGTAGCAGAACAATAAGTGAAGCCTGGGAAAGTTAGCAAGATGACAAACATGGGCTTTATACATAGATATATTAATTCATAAATCCAAAGAACAATTCTACTAGATTAATTATTTTCTAGTGTTTGAACAACGTGCCATTGTCATACACTGTAAGTATAGCTGGCTAGAAAACAAACCCTGCTAAACACAGTAGCTTCCCAGCGATAGACCCAACAGAAAACCTGTTTGGAGTTCTACCACAATGCTAGATGGCAACTGTAGTTGGGTATGACAAACATCTCTTCCTATCTTCCGGGGTGTTCCTAGCCAGACTACAAGTGTCAAGATCCACCAGCCCAATCTCACTGAACCACTATGGCTGACCATAAGCATCCCAGGCCAAAGTCCATCTTGTGAGACGCAGTCTAGCTGAAGAACCTAAAACCAACAGTGAAGTACAGAGCCTCCTGATACCCGTAAGCATAATTCTTACTGAGGCATGGAAGCAGTACTCTGCACTTTCTGGGGAGCGGGACATTCTTTTATAGTGTTTAATGTTTTTCATTCAACGCAGATGGGGAAAAACTTGGGTTGTCAAAAACCCTTAGTGCTCTGCTGGGAAAAAGCTGCTTGTAAAATGGAAATGAGTAAGAATTTATTTTGTGAATATGCCTGTTTTGATGCATCACCAAATCCATCATTAACCTTTAGCTTAGGGTTAAATGCAAAGCAAAAGAGGAAGCAAGGAAAAGCAGTTGTCCAAACATGCCAAAGAAACCCTGTATACCCAGCCTATGCATAAGCTTTCTAAGTTACAGCATATTACTAACACTTGAGTAACTACAGCCAATAAATCTTCCCTTGTTAAAACTTAAAATACTAAATGTTAAATAAATGTGATCTAGACTAAAAAGAATTGCTGACATATGCTGTCAAGATTAAAAATGTAAAAAAACCCCAACACTTAAGAAAATGTGGAAGCATACCTACTGAAAGCATGCACATGAAAAACCAGACCTTTCTAATAAAGATAGCAAATCTCAGCTATTTTAAAGTTTCCCCATCTGCCATTTAAGCAGTATTGATTTAAAAATAAAATAATTTTAAAAGAGAAGAATACGTAAGATACATGTTTATGTACATGTATAGGTGAGGAATGAGCAAGTAATTAATAAACAATTAAGACAAAAATGCTTTTGCATTTGATGCAGTTATCTTCTAAACTATTAAATACTAGATAGAGAGAGGAAAAGATGGCATGCTTCTTCCAAAAGAAATGTCAACACTTCACAGCAGTCACAGGAGAAAGGTCTGAGAAACTGCTCAACAGGCACCTCCCCACAGAGGCAGAGACAAGAACCCCTGAGCTGAGCTGAGACTGCTGAACAACTGCAAGGGTATATGCTGATATTCCCCTTGAACCTCAGGTCCCAGCCACCTCATGACTTATTCCAGCAGAACAGGACTGGATTCCTTCTATCCCAGCAGGCACCAAAACTATACCTCTTTGTATCTGCTAATGTTGCACAATTGTTTATGCCATATCATGGGGTTGTCCTATTGCTAACTTGCCCAGATACTGACATGAGAAAGTAGACATGAGAAAGTAGCGCCAAGATTATTTCCTGTGATGATAGATACAGAGAATTTTTTAAGTCAATGAAAACCAAAGAAAATTTTACAATAAATGCCAGCATTGGCTATCATAGATCAAGAAAGAAAAACCAACCCTACAACCTAAATATCCATTTCAAATAAGCTAGTTCACTGATGGTATACCTAACTCTGGCAACACAACTTCCAAAAAAATACAAGTAGGGACTCAAAGAGAAAGTGGACTGATAGAAAGAACAAGAGTGTTGGAGTGTGCATATATAGTGTTTTCAATTGCCTAGATAAAATCCCTGAGGAGAAAAGAAACAAAGAGAAAGAAATCAAATAAGTAATGTCATTCTAACTGTGCACGTTACACTGGACCACCTTTCAAGATCAAGGGCTTTTTCTGCTCTGCCTTTCTATGCTTTGAGGCACTCTAAAGGGTCAGTGCTTGTCAGAAGTTTTCCCAGCTACCCTTGTAAGCAACTTGGTTTGCATGTCCTCCCCAGCATTACACCACAGTAATTGAGAGCATAAGCCAAATAAATGTTCCTGCAAGCTACAAGTACAACTAAGGAACCTTCCTTAAAGCATGTTCCTCAACAAAATGAGGTGTGAGTCAATTTAAACAGTTACTGTGGTAATAAAAAGCAGAAAAGATAAGGCTATCAGGTCAGATACCAGGGGAGGAGGAAGGTGAAAATAATCCGATTCTACACATAAAGCAAGAACAAAAATATTATTTGGGGCTTCATACAGAATATGCTGGAGCAGTTGAATGTCTTCCCTTGGATTTGACGAGTTTCTGGATCAAGCCTGCCTATGTTTTCAATTGGGGGAGAAAGTTTCACTAAAGTTTCACTCGAGTCTGCTCACAAGAATAAGCTAGGACCACTGAGATAATCCTAACCAATTAATCACAGCCATGGGTCTGTATCACAAATTCACCATCAGTTTGGCATGTCCCCACACTTAAAACTTGAGTAGGTGTTGTGCTGGTCATCAGGACTGTTAGAATAATGGCTTTTAGCATATATCGCACCTTAGCCTCAGTCCTCTGAGGCTGAGTTTCGGCAAGATGTAAAACTACATCCTGACTTCATTCAGATATCCTTCAGGAAACATTCACATCATTTACTGCAGCCAAACAAACGACAAAAAAAAAACGTTTCTTGGAATAGCCTACATTTGTCCTGATCACATCATACCTCTTCCTACAGCATAACACCTGTGACACTGAAGTCAGTTTAAGATAGCAGGACAGAAGCTGAAAGCTGTATCTTCAGACAGCACAACACAGTTTCATAAAGGACCAAGAGAGAGATCAATTGTGACAAAGATATATAATGCCTCACAACATCTGTAAGCAACAGAAGATAAATTTAGATTATATCTGTAAAACATGCTGGGGAGACAAGGAAATGATGGCAGAAAGGTACTTACTTGATTTTACTGAAGACAATGTCAACATCTGTGATTGTCACATTCTTCCCATCTATCACATGACAGTCCTTACATAGCTTTGACCAGTTCTTCCCATGCATTTCTTTTCCTGTGGCTCTTGTATCACCATGGATGGCAAATTTTCTAAAGGCCTCTTCCAGAGCACTTAGTTCTCCTGCCATAGCTCCCTCATGGGAGCTGTTTGAATCATAGGATAATCGTTTTGCTGCTCGGTCCTTTGCTGGATCTGAAGGAGACTTTGGAGGAGTCTTATTCACAGGTTTGGTCGACTTTGCTTTATTGTCAGCCATTGTGCTACAAAGAAGAGGAGGGTAAACTCATTACATTAATTTGCACTAGTTTACCTTCTGTTAAGCTACAGGCTACAGTCCACGTCACAACATATGAAGATAAGTGGTCTATAAAGTTAGCAAGAACTCAGTGCCCTCCACCATCAAACAACAGTCTACATATAGAACTATGCAACTCTCTGCCCATCTAGAAAGAAATTCTAGCATATTTAAAAAAAAAAAAAAAAGGCAGGGAAAGAACATTCCAAAATGAGGCACAGACCTAGTTTCACCACCATTTCATCAGCCAACACAAGAACACTTAGTGTTTGTTTCTTTTTTTTAAAAAAAGGCAATCACCACAGTCACTGATCTGAATAAAAGTATGCCCTTTGCATTGTAGGCATTACTACCTACTTTTATTTCTGAAGGAAAAATAAACAGCCCTTTATTTTCTGGACCATGGCTTTTTAATTATTTTTTATTGAAAAGTGAAATATTTTGAAAGTGCAGCAAAAATATTAATGTTAGAACCCTTATGTTATATAATGTAAGGGCTAACAAGTAAGGAAGCCTCAGAAATACTCAGACAAGTCTCTCTTGTTAACAAAACCATTCATTTCTCAAGTTTATGCCCAAAGAACTGTAGCTGTAGAATTCATTTGGAATAAACACATCCATGATGCAGGAGCACTGAGAAGGGCTGTCATTACTGCAGAGAACAACTTTCAGGTTACCCTACGTTCACAGAGGATAGGTTTGCCTTTTAAAAGAAACCTTAAGCTGAGCAACAGAACACTAAAGTTATTTTCAGGAGTCTTCACAAAGAAAAAAACCCTAACATGCCAGAAGCATCCCATAGAAGCCTTTGCCTTCTGCCCATCCACTCTTAGCTTGGCAGAAATAAGAGGCACTGAAAAGCCCAGTGATAGGGTACACTGTGTGCCTGTCCCAAAAGCTACATGTAGACATGTTGCCCAGACTCACATCTGTGGTGCTGCTACAAATTTTAACCCATAAAGAAGTGCTTCAGGTATCAGAACTTTGGCAAATACTGGATAAGGGCTGGAAAGCCCACCATAACTTATGTTGTCCATTCCTCTAAAGTCACAGCTGTACATGTGACTAACATATGCAAAGATTGGTATGTATTTCTAGTTAAGGTTTTATTTCTGCATCAGATAGAAAGTTCTTTTGGGCTTATATACTGTACTTCGATACAAACTCCTCAGCAATGGAAACAATTCTAAAATTCTACCTCTTCTGATATTGCTTAACCTGTCACTTGAATAGCCAAGGCATACCCTTTCCTGCATGCTGCAACTAACCATAACTACCTGCTGTGCAGTAGTTATTGTTAAGCTTCATGATTAGAAACAACCTTTTAATAAAAATTTTGTCCTTTACACTTCAGCAAATGCAGCATGGCCAAAGCACTACTGTCTGTTTTGAAAACATTCAAGTAAATGCTTAAAAACCTTGTTACATCTTAGGCCTGGGGATCTTTCTGTTTTGTTTACACTGTCAGCACAAGTTTTGGCCAACAAACCAAAACGCTAAATTAAAATTAATACGACAGGAATTTACTAACTGTAGCCAGAGAGTTATATGTGCACCTACAAAATAAAAAGAAAAGCACACGGGGGGGAAAAAAGAGTTTGAAAACTGAAAGTTCATTAAAAAGTTAAAAATGTAACCAATTCCCATTTTTATTTCCTTTGCACCCTGCCTGCTCCACAAAGAACAGCAATTTTACCTCAATAAATTTTTCTGAAAATCTCCCAACACTGAATCTCCAAAACAATAAGCACCCACAGTAAATTGTGAGCTACTACAAGTATCACAGATGCATACATTTCTACCAAAAGAGTGTCTAGACCATTCTAAACTGTCTGATTCACCAGGCTACACACATTCTTTTGCGACCAAAACAGTGGTGAGAGAACATAAGAAAACAAAAACACTGCTGGCACAATCTATGCAAAAGAGAATTACATTAAAAATCAGATCATGAAGATCTATGATCTACCTCCACCTTCGAGGAAGCTAGACTTCCAAAAGCAGAAGTTTCTTCCAAGCTTGCAACATTTCAAATCCACCAGAGCTGGAAACTAGAACCAGAAATTTTCCAAGCTAACACTAACTGGCAAAAGATAGACAGATGGAAAGACAGAACACATTAGCAAAAAGCAAAGTCTGTATTTTAATGTCTGTATAGGATATTAAAAACCAAAGGTACCTCCGTAAGCAAGTAACAGGACAAAACAAGGTGGAGATCTGCTATAGTAAGGTACATACAGCTCAAATGATTTTGCAGTTTTATCTTGTGCCAAACAAACCTTCCAAGAGATCTTCAGGGACAGCCCCCTCTTGCTCTTGACAGAATTGCTAAGGGTGTTTTTAGTAATTCTGGGCCAGGGGGAACAGGACACACTCTACAGAAAAAGGTTTCAGTTTTGAATGGTGAAATCTGGTATGCAAAGCAGACTCATTTCAAAGAAATCCTCACTATCTAAAGCAGAAGGTCAAGGATAGATTAAAACTAGGGCTCTGCTATGGTTGCCAAAAATTGTCATGGATACTCCTTTTCTTGTTGAACCATAATTAACATTTTACTTGTTAAAATCCTACTTAATAGCATGAAGTTTACTAAAAGGAAGCCACCCAGTTTATGAAAATACTGACCTTGCCTCAACTTCAAATTTTGTTTCTTAACACTACAAACAACACACTCTGAAGAGAAACATATTCATTAATATACTATATTAGAAGGTAAAGAATTGCACAACACAGGATATGAAATCAGATTTTTAATGGGTTCAGGTCCTTTAACTTCTTTTAATGATTAGAGATGAGGAAGGAGATCATGCCTTGTTGAAGAAATGATCTCTCAAAGTGAAGTACAGAATAACCTGTTTGCCAAAAATTCAAGATCAAATGCAGGTTTGAGTCTTCCTTACCCTTTTTACCCCTGGACAAAGGGATCAGAAGGTGCTTTCCAGCTTCTGCTAGAAGTAAAGATTAGCAGTAATTTGGGGAGGGGCCACAGCAGGGCAATAGGTGGAAGCGACAAAAGAAAGTGACTACTCTAAAATACCAATTCTAAAATTCAGTAAAACAAAATTAAGCCACTGTTCAAAAGCATGAGCTGTGTAGATGCCGACTATAACAATTACAGCTAACCAAAGAAACACCTTTCATCACCATCCAAAAAGTCTAATACGCACACAGTTAGATAATACTACATTTCCAGAGCCAGCAGAGGGAAGGAAGGTCGGCCTAGCCACCAATCCCATCCTCTCCAAACACTGCTGGCTCCAACCTAGCAGGTCCACATCACCAAAACAAGCCATATAAGACATTAAGAAAGAGGTATAAGCAGATGCTAGAGTTCAAAAGGCTTTGTGAAAGAACAGCTGTCCCAAAAAACTGGAGTTCCAGAAATCCACAGAATATTTAGACAACTAGGTGCTGTGTTATGAGCTGCTATAGTCTGTGCCATGTGATACTCCTTTAGTGTCATGAAAAAACAGTTCTTGTCCCTTCTCTCACTCTGCAATAGGTAAACAATACAGCACATTATACAGACAGAGATATCTATACAGAGATTAAGCCAGGGATCAAACTGACTGAGGTCATGACTAACTCATGCTAAAATAGACTGAAAGTGCAGATCTGTGCTCTCAGCGCATGCCTAACCCATTAGAAAAAGTTTTCTCATATCATCAAACTTCCTTTCAGCCAGAGACTACAATACATACTCATCTGCAGACAGACAGCTGGGAGAATGCCCCTAGATAAAGTCACGTATTAATCTGGATTCTTCCAAAAATGAGGGGACAAGCAACTATTGTTTCTGTGAATTCCAGTTGTTGATTCTCTATAGCTGCATGAATACCAGGTACATAGAAATAAGCCCAAAGCCTCAGTACTGACCAACTGTCAGCTCTACTGAAAGATTTATACTGATTTACACTCTTTCACTTCCCCACATCCTCTCCAGGTGTCAACACATTGCAGGAATTCTGGTACAGCTTTGATTTAGATTTGGGGGAAATACTCGTAGAAGTAATCCATCTCTCAGCACCAATAAGGAAGACCTGAAGATTTACCAAAACCCAGAGTACAACAATTTCAGCAGGTTATGCAACTCTATGGAATATGCACGTATCCTACCTGGTCAGAATTCCCTGCGGCACCTTCCCTGCCCTGTCCTTGAGAACTAATGCATGGCTAATCTGCTCAAGAAGTGCGGACAGCTTAGTATTTGTAATAGAAGTTAGCATCGCTGCCATGTCACAGACAGGGAAACCAAAGCAGAGGGATGAAGAAACATATCTGTTATGCTGCTGGAGTTCAGAACATCATGAGGACCCTGTGTCCCGTACTCTACGCTGCTTTAATTATCAGGCCACATAAAGCAGGTACATGATTGTATGGGGTGCTCTGAAGAACCAACGTTCTCTGACTTCATGGAGGAAACACAAATAGTCCCACTAGCTGCAAATGTATTAACCCAGTTTACAATCTCCACATCAAAAAATGCTTTTCAAAAAGAAAAAAAAAAATCAACAGGAAACTACCAAAAGTGTGAATGCCCAGCTTTTTGGGCTATACCATGTACTTTCTCTCATCTGCTTTGTCTAGCTTGCCTCTAGCACGCTAGGAATGTTCTGTCCCAATGTAAGTTGAATTGCTTTCATTCGCAGCAAGTATTACAAAACCAGTTTTTAATGGAAGTCTTCTTGCAGCATTAACTGCCACAGAAATTAGTAAGAGTGTATTTTCTAAGCACAAAAGACTAGAACATTACAGTAGATACCTATTACAGACTCAGCTACAATCCAGTTAATAGAAAAGGCAGCTTATTTTAAAACCATTTGTTCTTTGGAATATTTACCAACCAAGAATTAGCTAAAACAAGGTCAAAAGTCCTGTGAACTAAGGAAAACTTCCAGTTCAAACTTTTTAATGGCAGAAAGCATTCAAGCATCAAGCAGACCTCTGTTCAGGAGACTGCTGAGA